CTTTTTGGTCTACGATTTCCAGGGACAAAGCTCTAAAGCTGGGGGGGGGGGGACACCTACAATTCCTTGGTTTCTGGTTTTAGGTTTCCAGAAACAAAGAATTCCTGGAGCTCTGGCTTTTGAGATTTCCAGGGACATAGCTTGGAAGTCTTCTGTAAAACTCTAGCTTGAGATTTCCATGGACACAGCTCTCAAGCTGGGGGGGGTCCCTAGAATTCCTCAGCCACTGGCTCAGGTTTTCCGGAATCAAAGCTCAGTAGCTGGGGGACCTCTGGTTTCAGATGTCCAGAGATACAGCTTGGCGGGCTTCTGTAGAACTCTAGCTTGAGATTTCCAGGATCAAAGCTCAGAAGCTTGGGAAGTAAGGAGGGGGGGTCCCTCTGGACTTCCCAGAGCTCTGGCTTGTGATTTACAGGGACAATGCTCAGAAGCTTGGGAAGAGGGGGCTTCCCTGGAACTCTGGCTTGTGATTTCCAGGGACAATGCTCAGAAGATTGGCAGGGGCTCCCTGAAATTCCAGCTTGTGATTTCCAGGGACAATGCTCGGAAGCTTGGGAAGAGGGGGCTTCCCTGGAATTCCTGGAGCTCTGGCCAACTGTGCCGGAGTGAATGTACTGCTCCGATCTCACCTCCTGACTGCACAGGAGCTGTGTGTACAATGCTGCTCCACATCACCCATGCAGAATATGAGAAATGGGGGGGGGGGAATAATAGCGTGAACCTGATCAGGGGTGGAAGTGGAGATAGCTGAGCCCTATTGTAGCTGTGTGTGTATAGATGTACCCAGCAGTGATGTGTTGGAACTGCATTCATCCAGCTAGCCCTTTAATAACAAGGCCACAGAAAGGGGATCCTGCTCAATGACATCAGATTTCGGGGGGGTTCACCATACTGCCCCCCACCTTGCAATCAGGGGAGCCCCCCCACCTCCCAAGCATCCCCTTCCATGGAAAGCTCATTCCATCCTGCAGACGTGACAGGGAGAGACCCTGATCTGGAATGGAGAGAGGGGGGTTGGATGCAGGAGAGAGAGGGGGGGGTGGTGGTGTTGGGTGCAAAGGGGGGCTGGGTGCTCCCCCTCTCTCCCCATCCCCGGCTCCTGATCAGGGTGCAGGTAAGGCAGACTTATAGAGATTTAAAGAGAAATTGCTACAATTGTAACAAACTCACCGCGGTGTTTGAGCAGCAGTCGGCCCGGGGTCTCCAAGTCATCCCAGCACGGGCTCTCAATGCAGGACCCAAGTGGCCTAGACACATAGAGGGTTAGGGTAAAGCCTGATCGGATGTGGCATCCTCAGGCGGCCCTGGCACAGCACCCCCGGCCGTCACCGCCGTCAAATCGCGCTTCGGGTTGGCGAAAAAAAAAAAAATCCGCGAATTAATTCCACTTATTTTTTAAAGGAAAAAAAAAAGTGTTCGGAGAGGGTTATTTTTTTCACTTCCCACTCGGCAGGCTCCTCCCACGTCACCCCTCCTCCAAAACAATGGAATCCACCCAGGTGGGAGGGGCCGGAGAGAGCCGTGCACTCACACCGGGGCACAGCCTGCTTATATTTGCATGCAAATGAGGAGAACGGCGCGCGCCTTCCATGCGCGCTCCCGGCGCTCAGATGATTCAAGGCTCATTCACTGACTTACGCGCTCGCAAGAGTCGCAATCCCTGAATGAACTCCAGCAAAGCTGCTGCACATGGAACTCTGCAGGCTTCTGTTGCTGGGGACTACACATGGGCGGCCTCAGTTAGTGCTGCTGCACATGGAACTCTGCATGCTTCTGTTGCTGGGGACTACACATGGGTGGTCTTTGTTAGTGCAACCGCACTCCTAAAAGTCGCCTGCGATTAGTAGTAGTCGGATAGTTGAATGCAGTAACGAACAGTGATTTGGAGCATTGCGTAGTCATACGAGCTACACTCCATTGTTTGCAATGTGACTTTGTCAGCAACTTTACCCACCGATTTAATGTCTCCCAAGACTGACTTTCAAGGCATTCCAACTATCAAGGTTGTGCTTGTTTCAGCTCTCAACCAAACAACAAGCTCTCAAATGGCTGATCACATGTGATAGCGATTGTGTCCAACTGTCAAGGTTGCTGGTGTGCTTATTTCACCTCTCAACCAAACTTCAAGCCCTCAAATGGCTGATGTCATAGCTGATCACATGTCATAGAGATCATGCCTAACTGTCAAGGTTGCAGGGTGCTTATTTCAGTTCTCAAACTTCAAGCCCTCAAATGCCTGGCGCCATAGCTGATCACATGTCATAACGATCATGTACAACTGTCAAGGTTGTCAGTGTGCTTGTTTCAGCTCTCAACCAAACTTCATGCCTTGAAATGGCTGATGTCACAGCTGATCACATGTGATAGTGATCAGTGTCCCACTGTCAAGGTTGTCAGTGTGCTTATTTCACCTCTCAACCAAACTTCAAGCCCTCAAATGGCTGATGTCATAGCTGATCACATGTGATGGCGATCGTATCCAACTTTCTAGGTTGTTGGTGTGCTTGTTTCATCTGTCAACCAAACTTCTTGAAGATGCCCATAGAATGTACTTCCTCAATGCACTGACACCATTTCACTCAGCACTGTGAATATGAACTTCCTTGTGTCACAACTCTCACAGAGCCTGCCTTCTGAACTACATCATACAGTGTGAACAATGTAACATTATCATTGCTTGCTGGAAGCAATGCATGATGGCACATGTAGTCTTGAGAAATGGAGATTGCATCACATCAAACAGCAGGGAAAAAAATCAAGGACGTTGATGAAAGTGATGGGCAGACTGAAGGCAGCACTCACTACATAAAAGGGATTTTTTTAAGTAAGCTTTGATTGTATGATCAGAACAACTCTTCCTATTACAATGCTGATTTTATAACAGGAGAGGATATGTCGGGACTTTAGGAATTTGGCACTTCGGGGGAGTGTTGAGTGCTGGCGTCCCTCTGGGGGTTTACCTTGCATCATTACAGGTCATGTGCCCGCGAAAGGATCCACAGAGCACAACCGATGCACCCAAAGTATGGCGGATGCTGAAGATCTTCCAGCAAGCTAAGACCTGCAGCAAAGTAGCCCGGGCAGCAGGAAAAGTAATTATTTCTCATTGCAGGGAGGTGTTCTTTTTCTTTAAAAATAGTGACGGTCGCCGTAAGCTCCAGCAATCTAAAGTTGACCATACACTGCACATGCTGACTTGGTGGAAATGTGAGCTGTGCGTGGCCCTGCTGACACCACTCCATTCATCAAAAGTCCATTCTGTCATCCACTTTTGTCTAGGGCGTTAAGGTGCCCATACGCTTAAAGGAACCGGATGAAATTTGCACGGTGTGTGCTGGTGTCGTCAACCTTTTCGGTCGGCATCCTTTGATCAGCTGACCGAAGAAGCTGGCTGGGAAACTTTTGTACGATAGGAGCCGGCAGCCGATGAGCTGCTCGCTCCCGCCGGGTATTTGGACAGCAGCTGGTGGCCGCTGTCCCAATACAATGCAAACGGTGGGATTACTCGATCGGCACGCTCCTAAGTATTGATGGAGGAATCTGCTCTATTTTTCTCGTTCAGCCCACAGGTTGAACGAGAAAAATAGATCAGTGTATGGCCAGCGTTAGTCTGGGTGTCTGGATACAGTAACCTGACAGGGCAATTCCTTCACCTGTGTTGTCCAGTGTGGGCAGGGCGTAATGTCAGCTTTAGTATCATGATCGCGCCAACAAAAATAGCCTGTGTGTGTCCAGCCAGCACAGCAAACTGCATCCCCGGGCAGAAGGTAACACACAAATTGTCCGGGCACACCAAGACCGCTGCCACTTTCTTCTTATCACAGGGAAGTGCCACTCCCAGTAATGTCAACAATGGAGCCGTGGCAGAGCTATTTTATGACGCCTGTCAGTCTGAATACTAGCTGAAAGTTTACTATACACGATCCATGCTGAAGGTTTACTATATACAATTCCTAGCTGAAAGTTTAGTAAATACTATTCGTTGCATTTTTACACATTCCTTGTATTTGTTGACATTGAAAGCATAAGGGTTTGTTTAAAATGTGCTGAGATACATTCAGGCTGAACTCCGGGCACAAAAAAATTTCATTTAAATGTATTCCTCAATAGCCATAAAGGATGTAAATCCACTTTGTGTGCACCCAATGCCTTTTCAAAGTCAGATATTACCTTGTAGAAGTAGCAGTGGCATCACCACTGTGCTGTATATTATCTGTGCAGAGAGAAGAGTTGTGGGAGGGGCCCAACAGGCTCCACCCACTACAGGCTGCCAGTAGAAAACTATAAGAGAGGTGGATAAAAGATTGGTCACACTGCACAAGGAGAGAAAGTAGCAGTGACTGGTCTTTATTACAGGAGGGGGCAGAGACAAGACCAGTCACAAGGAGAAAGAGCAGTAGTGACTTATCTTTATTACAGGAAGGGGCGAAGACAAGACCAGTCACAAGGAGAGAGAGCAGTAGTGACTTATCTTTATTACAGGAGGGGGCGGAGACAAGACCAGTCACCCTGCACAGGGGAGAAAGCAGCAGTGACCGGTCTTTATTTCAAGAGGGGGCAGAGACAAGACCAGTCACCCTGCACAAGGAGAGAGAGCAGTTGTGACTTATTACAGGGGGGCGGAGACAAGACCAGTCACCCTGCACAGGGGGAGAAAGCAGCAGTGACCGGTCTTTATTACAAGAGGGGGCGGAGACAAGACCAATCACCCTGCACAAGGAGAGAGACAGCAGCAGTACTGGTCTTTATTTCAGGAAGGTCTAAGTGTCACATTGGAGTAATGCACAGATCTGGAAGAAATACACAAAGCTCACCCAGATTCAAATAAGAATACACATGATTCTTGTATTCACACAATAGTTCAGGACTATTAATACTATGGGGGGAATTTGGAGCAGACAGAATCTGGAGCAGTTGCTCATAGCCACCAATCAACTTCTTACTTTAGTTTCTTCAATTAAGCTTTGAAAATGAAAGAGAGAAGCTGATTGGTTACTATGGGCAACTGCTCCAGATTCTGTCTGCTCCAGTTTTGATAAATTCCCCCTTATGTATTAACATAGTATACTATACTATACTGACAGTTACAGGCATGACTTCCAGAAACAGATGCATGATGGGATTTGCGGTTCCAGCACAGCTGGATGGCCGGAGTTGCCAATACATGGCATCCCAATATGTGTCCCAATAGTAAAATGGATGCTGGAATGACCTGCGGATGGCGCCGTGTGAAGGGAAGTTGCCCTATTGTTTCAGTGAGTGTTTGTCAATGTGTATATTTGTACATATGATGTTCTATGGTTGTCACTATGTTTGCCTGATGGATGGACTGCTAATAGTTCCCAAACTTTGCTGTTCACTAGTGATACCAGGTATTCTTAGCGTCTAATAAAGGCGTGCTGATACACTGGACAAAAACGCAGCAGCCATATCCCCATACGCCTGTATTTACTTCCGTGGGAATGAACAGCTTTCTAAATGCATATAAACGCATACAAAAATTGCATGTGTCCAATGCCCATGTCAACCAATCAGCTTCTGTCTTTCCTTTTCAAAGCTTAAAGTGACATTAAAGTCAAAATCCCCCCCACACTTCTGCTTTAAGGACTTACCTTAAATGATGCCTCCTTGATCCAATCATCTTCTTCTTTCCACTTGTATTCAGGAGTCCCTCCAGCGCTGGTGTGGGCTCTGATCCAGCGCTGACTGCTGTTTCTTCCTGTCACACGGAGTCTGTGCGTGTCCACACTGCTCCATCGACTTATCCTGTGTGTCTCCTCTTCTCCCGTCCGAACATCTGTACTGCGCATGTGCCCGCCCCATGATCCTCATGGCCACCCGAAATTTTCAGATCTTTGGACGGGAGTGAGCGGCGGTGACACGGGTAAGTTTAAGGCTCCGTTCCCACTGCGGGATATGCAAATCGTGCGTTTGTCGTGCGATTTGCATATTGCGCGACATCGCGAGATTTGCCGCGCGATATCGCGTTCAAGCTTGCATTGAGCAAGCTTGAATCGTGGCTAAATCCGCTCCAAAAAGGGTCCTGCTGTAGCGACACACGACCCGCGACAGCAGGACCCTTTGCCCCATTGAAATGCATTGGAGCGCGATATCGCGCGGTAATTTGCCGCGATATCGCGGGAATTACCGCGCGATAAATCGCTCAATGTGAACGGGGCTTAAACCTGTTTTGTAACTTTTTTTTTTTTTATGTTTTTCCATATA